TACTATAGTACCGGTACTGAGTACAAATGTACTTTGTACTTCGCTATTATTTCATGTTTTAGTTATTCTATTATTATTTCGTAAGTCAATATTTACTATTTTCATGATTTACTGACATCTGTAGGAAAGAAAAAAAAATAGAAGGAAATATTGGTATTACAATATCTTATATTGATCGATATAAAATCGATATAGTTTCAATTATTGTAAGTAATAATGAATAGAGGTCTATGAGTGAGAGGAAAAAAAGTAAACAGCATAGTAAAAAAAGTTTATTGGTGCAATATAAACAACGGGTGGTTCAATCTCTCGGACATCGTCATAACACCGGCTATTTGTTATTCGTGAAACACCATCTTATACGTAAAAATAAATTATATTCGAATCTCTATCAATAGTCAATGGCTGCTGAACAATTGAAACAATATTTCGATTTTTCCATGATTGACAAAAATAGAATCAATGGCTATTGTAAATTGTGCAATCAAAATTATAAGGATAAATGTGGAATTTTTAGCAATTTCATGAAACATTTAAAACGAAAACACACACCAGAATATGAAAAATTATTTTTTGATCCAGTTGAAGATTCATCAGAAGTTGTTAATGGTAGTGATTATCGATCCACAACAGAATTATCATCAAGTAACACCAAACAAAATCGTATTAATATGTTCATTGCAAAATATTTAATTATCAAATGCAATTTACCTTTGAATTTGGTGGAAAAATCTGCTTTCCGTCAGTTTATGAAAGAATGTAATGTCAAATGGGATCCAATATCGTCTAAAAAATTGAAACATGATGGAATTACATTTTTTACAGATAAAATGAAAAAAATTCTTCATGCCACATTAAATGATACTAAATTTGTTACATTAACTGTCGATGGCTGGTCTGACAGACGAGGCAGATCATTTATTGGTGTGACCTGCCATTTTATTAATTATAAGTGTGAACCACAAGCATTTTTGATTGATTTTGTACGTTTAAAAGGACCACATACTGGTGAAAATATTCATCGAATAACTGAATTTATTCTTGATCGTTATAATCTTAAAGAAAAGGTGTACAAAATAGTCACGGACAACGCTTCATCAATGATAAAAGCGTATAAATTTGGCTTGTCCGTTGATGATGAAATAGGTTATGATGATAGTAATGAAATGAAATTAAATTCAAACACGAACACTGCATGGGATGATAATAATTGTAAGTAGTTTTCTATACTTGCATAAGTACAAAATGAAGACATAATATGAATCTTTTTATTCTAGACGATATGGATATTAATGATTTGGAGTTTATGAATATTTCGTATGCTGACGATTATGAAGATATTGAAAATCCTTCTGATCTTCGTTTATCATGTTTTATACATTCTTTACAATTATCTGTACGTGATGGTCTAAAAAATGCTGTTTATGTACCAAAATTACTTAAAAAATGTCAAGCACTTGCTAAAGTTTCACATAAATCATCAAAAATTGCTGAATTACTTGAAGAAATAAATAAACACATTAACAAAATGACAATTACTCGGTGGAATAGTGAATTTTTATTAATCAAATCCATTTTATCAATTGGTAAAACCGATCTTGAATCAATTACATCTTTAATGGATAACCAAATCAAATTTTCTAATAATGACTTTATTGTTTTAGAAGAACTTGTTGATATTCTTCAACCATTTTATGATATTTCAATTAAATGTCAAGCAGAAACAGCAGTTACTATTAGTTTAGTAGTACCATCTATTGTACACTTGATTTCACATCTTCATGATGTTAAAGCAGATATATCATTATGTCTTAAATTAGTACAACAACTTGAAGAATCAATCAAAACACGTTTTTCTGGTATTATTAATCGATTAAATTTAGTTGATATTGTTGATAATTCTGCTTTTGGTGATCCAATATATTTTATAGCTGCTGTATTAGATCCATCATTTAAATTTTTATGGATTCGTGATTTAAAATTACCTGTTCCAATGGAAAATCGTTTAAAACAACACATAATCGATTTGATTATTAATGAAATGAAAAAAGATTTACCAGCATCAACTATTGAACCAATGAAGATTAATTTTTCTTCAACATCATCATCAACATTTTCTTCTTCTACTACTACACCACAAAGAAAACGACGAAAATTGTTTAATTATGATGATAATATTATCAATGATTCAAATGCATCGTCGACACTTGATCCTGCTGTAGAATTAGATGCATTTTTAAATGATCCAGTTCGTTCAAATTTTTCGAATTACTGGTTCCATTCACAACTAAAAATTCTGAAGAACTTAATTGTACGAATTTTCTCAGTTCAAGCAAGTTCAGCTCCAATCGAGAGAGTGTTCTGTCATGCCGGACTCATATTATCATCAAGAAGAACGAACATGAATGAGACTTTATTTCGTGATTTAGTTCTTCTACGTGTAAATCAGAATTTGCTTTGAACTAGTTGTGTCACATTCGTTATTTTCATCAGTTGTTCTTCTCAGATTTGTTTTTGTTGACTTACTATTTATTTTTAACTTCTTGTTCCACTTTTTATTTTAACTCGTTGTTATTTTTTATCATTTTGTTATTTGTCACTGTTACTTCCTGAAACTAATAAAAATTTTAATTCTTCATTGTAACATCTTCTATCGTTTATCATTGAATATTACAACAAAAATTTATACATAATAGTACCAAATAGATTATGGAGCAACTTGAGTATATATATAATAAAAATCA